TGCCTTATGCGCAGGCACACCATTTCTCTCCACTAATACCAGCAGTGAATATTTTAGCAGCTGATTGCCATGTCATTAGTCTTGGACTGACTTGTTTGGTGTCTGCAACAGGAAATATTTTGCTTTCGGAGAACAAGAAAAATAGGTTTATTGTGTTACATTTATTAATTTGTGCAGTTACTCAGCGTTTGGTAAGTTAATGTTCAAGAAAAAAACATTAATTTTTATTAAAATGTTCTATTATTTGATGTTAACAATTACTCATTTATTTCAGCCCTTTGTATTCAGCATGTCTCTATCAAAATAAACCTACGTTTCTATGAAAATTGAAGCTTTTGTTTTTTTGTGTGGCCCACATACACTTAAACCTTGTTTATTTGGCCCATGTTAGCCTTTGAGTTTGACATGCTTGGTCTAACCCAGTGATGGCGAACCTTTTGAGCTCGGCGTGTCAGCATTTTGAAAAACCCTAACTTAACTCTGATGCCGTGTCACATATAGAAATTTTTTGATATTTGCAACTATAGTAAAACAAAGACTTATATTTTTGATATTTATTTTATATATTTAAAAGCCATTTAACAAAGAAAAATCAACCAAAAAAATGAGTTCGCACGTCACCTCTGACACGCGTGTCATAGGTTTGCCATCACTGGATTCTAACCAATACTTATAAGCACATATATTATTTATGCTAAAATGCCAATTATACAGGATATGTCTAAAATTCCCTCGATATCTAGGCACTGGGGATGCAGCAGGGAACTGGATACACAGATACATTCCTGCCCTCGTGGTCCTAATATTCTAGAAAATTCCATAGATAAAGTGGTGATGGGGGTGTGACTCTGCTCCTCCCCTTTTCTTCCTTCTCTAATACTTTCATCTTCCCTGACAGCTTTCCTTCTTCCCAGGGGAAACCCCACCCCCGGGGCTGAGGCTCACCTGCTCGCCTGGGCGTCGGGGGCGCATTTCCTCCTTACCTGAGAGCAGGAGGCCCTGTGAGAAGTGGCCCTGGGTCCCCGTGGGAATCTCCATCTCGGCGTCCTGTGGAGATGCCACCGGCTGGGCACCGAGGGGGCCGGAGGGCGGCCCTGGGCGGCCTTACCTGAGAGCAGGAGGCCCTGTGAGAAGTGGCCCTGGGTCCCCGTGGGAATCTCCATCTCGGCGTCCTGTGGAGATGCCACCTGCTGGGCACCGAGGGGGCCGGAGGGCGGGCCCGGGCGGTCCTCAGTGGGCCAGCTCGGCGAGGACCCCGGAGGAGCCCCTGAGACACAGCAGCGGCCGCCGAGCCAGACGGCACCCTGTCCTCAGGCCCCGGAGCTTCACCTGTGCTCCCTGGGATGAATGTGCAGACACTGGTTGGACCTGTTTTCCAGCGACCGGGGAATTTGCTGGGGCTTCCCAGCACTCCTCCCTTGACCTCTTCCCTCTCTTTCCCACTCAACCTGACTGTCAGGAGCAGCAGCAGTAATTATAACGACAGTTACAGTGGCCTCTGGTTGAGCAATGCCCCCTGTCGCCAGGCCCGACACACACTACTGCCTCATCCAACATCCGCCATGAGTCACGTTTCCCATTTTAGAGATGAGGAAACAGGATAAGGAGGGTGGCAGGTCTAGCGGAAGGGGGAGGTGGGATTTGACGTGGGGCTGGCTCATTCTAAAGCTCTTAGCATGGTTTTTCAAAAGCATTCATTCATTCATTCATTCATTCCAACACACACTCCCTATGCCAGCTCCACGCTGGATGGTGCTGGGGACAGTGATGATTAGATAACTCCTGCCCTGCTCTCAGTCCACGATGGGGCTCACATGTCTGTGTGTGTGTGTGTGGGGGGGGGGACAGACACACCAGGTAAGGATGATGCAGAGTGATCAGCACTGGGATGGAGGAGCTCGGGGGCTGGGAGAACCCAAGGGGATGCTTGACTCAGCTTGAGGGGCAGGGAGGGCTTCCTGGAGGAGGGGACAGCTGAGATCTGGAGTAGGAGAAGGGATGAGGCAGAGAGTGGGGTAGGTGGGGGGGGGGGTGTGAGGTGACTGTAAACAGCACAAGCGAGCAAAGGCTCGGAGGCTGCATGCCCTCGAGGTGCTTTGAGGAAGCTGCTGAATCCTGGACAAGCTGGGGGCCCGGTGGGAGAGGGCAGCCCTGTGGGCGGGGGCGTGTGGCTGGAGAAGTGGGAGGGGTCAATTGTAGTTTTGAGCTCTGTTGGGACAGAGAGTCCAGGGTTGTGCTAATACCATGTGGCTATTATAATATAAATTTAGCCCTGGAAGGTGTGGCTCGGTGGTTAGGGAATTGGCTCATCCACCAAAGGGTTCCGGTTCCATTCCCTGTCAAGGGCTCATACCTGTGTTGCAGATTTGATCCTGGCCCTGGTTGGGGTTTGTGTGGGAGGCAAGCAATCGATGTGTCTCTTTCACATTGATGATTCTCTCTTTCTCTCCCCCTCCCTCCCTCCCTTCCTTCCACTCTCTCTAAAAATCAATGGGAAGAATATCCTCAGGTGAGAATTAACAACAACAAAACTACATATATATGTTTATTTATTAAAATTCGATGCCTTATAAAACTTAGTTCCCCCAAACCAGCCACTTTCAGGTGCTCAATAGCCCCACATGACTTGAGGCTGTGACATTATACAGAGAAGATATAAAACATTTCCATCACTGCCATAGAAGTTCTATCAAACAGCGTTTGTCTAGGACAGCGGTTCTCAACCTGTGGGTCGCGACCCCTTTGGCGGTCGAACGACCCTTTCACAGGGGTCGCCTAAGACCATCCTGCATATCAGATATTTACATGACGATTCATAACAGTAGCAACATGACAGTGATGAAGTAGCAACGAAAATAATTTTATGGTTGGGTCACAACATGAGGAACTGTATTTAAAGGGCCAGAAGGTTGAGAACCACTG